AGCAAAAGACTCTCCTTTCCTTTTCACATTTCACCTTTAATGATTCACACTGAAATTACTGATGTTACTGATACTGAGAGGTAAAACAAAAGAATGGAATAATTCCATACAATTGTCCCTTAGTAACACCCAGAAGCTGGTATTGTACAACTTGCCTTAAATTACAGACATACTTAGATACTCTCTTCACTAAGTATATCCCTTCTAGATCCAAAAACAATATAATAGGACTCGTGTGAGTCATAGAACATCTCTGCCTTTCAAAGTAAAAGGGCAGTATGTAGACATTATAATTAATCCATTGCATCAGAATTGTCATTCAACTCAGACCCCAGAACAGACGCCTTCACTCATTTAACCAACAATGAAGTAATCCAGTAGCCATCCAGAAAGCATTTTAATAAGTACCTGTCACTTGCCAGGTACCATATAAGATGCAGAGAATACAGAAATGAGATAAGGTCCCAGCTTCTTATACCAATAGAATATCAAAATAAAAATCAGTGAAGATTATAAAGTGTTGAGATGAGAGTTATAGAGACGAGCCAGATAAAAGGAGAAAAATATGTTCTAAGCAAAGAAGGAAAGAAAAGGCATTATGACAGAATTAGAGTTAGGTTAAGAAAATAAGATACCCCTGGAGAAAAACTGAGTAATTCACAGTGGTTTTAGAGCAGAGGGCTCAGGGCCGGAACAGCAGAGGGGCTGAAGTCATAATGGGTAGAACCTGAGTTAAGAGTTAGGGTCAAGAGGCCTCAGTAATACTTCTGGGCAGAAATGCCAAGAGCCTGAAGTAAAGCTGAGGCAGGAAGGATGGGTAAAAGAAAGGATGGGTGGTGAAAACAGTACCTTTGCCATATAGGGCAACTGAAAACATGGAGACAAAAAACAGATGAAAGAACAGTAATCAAGTGGTTGAAATGACAGACTATAAGGTCTAATCTGGAAAAGAAAGAACATATTAGCCAAGAGGGAACTGACAGACAACATGGAGGGAAGGAACTGGAAAAACTGGTCAGATCAAAGAAACTGTAGTGTAGAAGCAAGTGCATGAAAGGGCTGTGCTTAGAGCAAGAGCTCTCAAATGGGAATCCATGGATCAGAGGTAAATTCAGGGGATATGGAATAAAAGTTACATGTTTATATGCCCTAAGCTCTAAATTAAAAATCAGCATTTACTTTAATTATGAATGTAAGCAACAGATCATAGTAGCATTAGCAGTTTCCGTGCCATCATGACTAAAGAACTCACCAGTATTTTCATATCACACAACAGTGGCTGCAATTATCTTCAAAGACCATTGATCTTATTACTTCAAAATGAGGATAGCATCACAAACTTAATATCTGATAATTACAATATAACTGATTTTCTTTTTAATCCTAAGTATGTTGTTTTAGGAATTTAAGATCATTACTCTGAGAAAAGAGTCCATGGGGTTCACCACACCACTAAAAGGATCTCAGGTTAAAAAAAAAAAATTTAAGGATTCTAGCTCAGATAGTAGGATCCTGGACTTTCAAGCCCTGGAGGAAGAGTATTCAAGCGAAAATAAGTCCCAGGAGATAGCTGTGCATTAGAAAGATATCAAAATGGTTAGTGAAGGGCTGGTAGAGTGACTCAAGTGGTAGAGCACCTGCCTACCAAGTGTAAGGCCCTGGGTTCAAAACCCAATACCACTAAAACAAACAAAACAAAAACAAATGAATAGTGAAGAAAAGGAACTCAAAGAATGTGCAGACAGGGTAATGTGTAGAATATCTGTGGACACTGAATTATTCATCACAATCAGTCTCAGAATGGATGAAGACAGTATGACAAAAAGGTTGACTGTGATGTGGCTTAGGGGAAAACAGGCATCTTGAGCTTCATACAGGAGAGTTTAATACTCAGAAGCTAAGAACCAGCTTACTGGTCCTGTTGTTTGTCACAATGACCTCTTTTCAATGCACTGAATAGCCCTCTTGGCCTCTTTCTACTCTGCCTGTCCTTCAAATCTTTTCTCCACTCCAACTCCTTTGTTTCCAAGTAAATAAAGTCTGAGTTTTTGACAAATCTGTCTCTTTTTGGTGGGGCTGGGGTTTGAACTCAGGGCTTCACTCTTGCAAAGCAGGCATTCTAGTGCTTGGACCATACCTCCAGTTCATTTTGCTCTGATTATTTTGGAGGTCGGGTCTGGAGAACTATTTGCCCAAGCTGACCTCCAACTTTAATCCTCCCGATCTCAGCCTCCCAAGTAGCTATGATTACTGGTGTGAGCTACCAGTGCCCAGCCACCAGTGACCAGTCTCAAATCTCTAGTTGTCATACACCTACCCAAAGGTATAAATGATCACAAACAATCTATTTTCCTTCTAATAAACTATGAAGAACTAGGAATTCTGACAGTGGGGAAAACACAGTAAATTTGGTATAGAATACGTCTAGGGCAGTGAAATCAATTTAAGTTTCAACCAGCATTTTTGTTTTGTTTTGTTTTTTGAGTCTCACTATGTAGCCTAGGTTGACCTTAACCTCCTGAATGCTGGGGTTAAAGCATGAGTCACCATGCCAGTGCAATCAGCACTTAAAAAAAAAAAGAAATAGAATGGAAAATATTAAAAGTGTACTGCACATAGTAAAGGTTAAGTACTGTGTTAAGTCTTGTTTCTCTTCTTCCCCTCTCCCGCTCTCTCTGAGTTGAACATAAGCGTACTGCAGACCATGATCCACAGTGTTTCAAGGGGAGGATCATTCCCTAGTGAGACTCCTATGTGGAAAGAAACAGAAACCAAACAGGACATTATGGCAGATAAGTTCATGAGGAGGAAAGCAAGTGGATGTGCACTGAGATGTGCATGTGAGCCCTGAACTAAGTCACTGTACTATTGAGCCTTCCTCCTCTGTAAAATAAGGCCAATGTACTTGCTTCACAAGCTAGGAATTAGGATCATATTATGAGGACAGAAGACATGCCCCAATACATGGCTGCCCTATTGTATGGTTAAACCAGACATACATTCCAAGGGAAATACCAGAGAACTACTTCAGTAGATATAGATAGCTAGAAAAGAGCACATGTAATGAAACTACCCGTATAGACAGATCTATCTCAAGTAAACACATGGAAACATAGGCACAAAGAATACACAAAGCAGCCAAGCATGGTAGTGCATTCTACTTACTACTTGTAATTGCAGCACTCAGAAGGCTGAGATGGGAGGATTACAAATTTGAGGCCAGCCTGGGCTATACAGCAAGATCCTGTTTCAAAAACCATGTGTGACAAAGAAGGTATGAGGATAGGTAAAACACCCAAAAAACTAGATAGCATTTGTTGCCCTCAATGCAGAGAAACTAAAGCAGATACTTTAAAGCAACTGAGGCCAATAGGAGAAGGCGACCAGGAACTAGAGAAAAGGTTAGTTCGAAAAGAATTAACTTAGAAGGTAACACACATGTACAGGAAATCAATGTGAGTCAATGCCCTGTATAGCTATCCTTATCTCAACCAGCAAAAACCCTTGTTCCTTCCTATTATTGCTTATACTCTCTCTGCAACAAAACTAGAGATAAGGACAAAACACCTTCTGCCTGGTAGCGAGGGGTTAGAGTGGGTAAGGGAGGGGGCAGGGAGGAGGGGGGAGAAATGACCCAAACATTGTATGCACATATGAATAAAAAAAGAAGAAAAAAAAAAAAACACGTGTGGTGGTTCATGCTTATAATCCCAGCTACACAGGAGGCCAGCCCAGACAAAAAGTTAATAAGATCCCACCTCAATCAGTAAATAGGGCTTGGTGGTATGTGCCTGTGATCCCAGGCAAGTGGAAGGCCAAAAGTAAGAGAAACTGATTGGCCCTGAGCAAAAACAGGAGACACTGTCTGAAAAATAATGAAAGCAAAAAAGAGTTGGGGGCATGGCTTAAGTGGTAGAGCTAGCAAGTGTGAGGCCCTAAGTTCAAAACCCAGTACTACCAAAAAAAAAAGAACAAGAAAAAGGAATATTCAAAGAAAATAATAATAATAATAATTACTGATTTTGATAAGTAAAACACTCTTTGGTAAAATGAACTAAGTCTTGGAGGAACTGTGGAACATTTTCTCTTCATATCTTAAATGGTTTCCTAAGACTAAAAGATGGACCAATTATCATCCTTCAGGCCTAGTTCAATACCACCGCCTACAAAGCCTACTGTACTCCCCAACCACTATATCTAAATGCCTCAAGCACTCAGTATTTGTACTTCCCACAACTAATAGCATAAGGTAGTATAAAATGTATCACCCAGAATGCAGTTAGGAAAGGAAGCCTACTGGAAAATAAGAACACAGGTTTTATTTTTCTGCCTTTCTGTAAGTCCAGAACTAATAAGACTTGTAGTTAAAACTAACCACTTCGTCTAGGGATGGGCATCCACTGACCTCAGTTCTTGAACCTCTGGCTAATAAAGAACTCATCTGATTGGGTAATCTAATCACAGGCTACTTTCACTAGCTACAAATTGTGTAAAAACCCAAACTTACATCACTGATCAAAATTCTAATACCCTAAATTATCTGTTTAACACCAGAGGCATATCCTACAGATTTGTATACTTTTTTTTTCTGTTTCTATAAAATCTTACAAGCAAATTAGGTGTTCTCCCTCTGTTTGCTTTCTCTTTCAGACTGGAATTTCCTGAGAGCGAAAACTATATTATTTAAACTTCCAACATGTCTGTTTACTCAATAAATGTGATATATAAGAAATAATAAGAGGAGATGTGATTCAACCAGCAGAGCGCCTGCTTTGCAAGCACAAAGCCCACAATTCAAACCCCAGTCCCACAAAAAAGGAATGAAAGGAAAGGAGGGAGGAGGGAGGGAAGTAGAGAGAGGAAGAGAGATAGAGAGAAGAAGAAAGGGAGAGAAAGAAAAAGAAAAGAGAAAGAAAGAAAAGGAAGGGAGAGAGAAAAAGAAAGAAAGAGGGAGGAAGGAAGGGAGGGAGGGAAGGAGGAAGGAAGGATGGATCACTTACCTCTTGGAGTGTCAACAAAGTATTAAGAATAGCTGGTAGTGTAGTCTGGACAACTCCAAATCTATCTTCTGTATATGATGCTGCTACTAAGTGAGACAGACCTCAAGGGGAAAAGAGAAAAAAAGTGAATCAAAATCAGACAAATCTATCTACAATCTATTTGCGAAAAGACTGATATTCTGAAAAAGAACTCAAAGATAGATGATGCAATATAAAATGGACAAAAGATGGGAGTAAGCATTGAATAGATGCTCAACTGCCTTAATCACAAACAGGACAAAGATTCTGCTTTAATTCTATCAGGAAAAATATTTTTATATTATTATGCTGAGTTGATAAATGCTAAAAGAAAAATAAAACAAAAGATAGAGTGATAATTATGAGGGAGACACTTTCCATAGGATAGTCAAGATTGAGATAGTAATATCTACAAGATGAAACAGAGCTGGGCGTGGTGGCACATGCCAGTAACTTCAGAACTAAGGACTAAGCGCTGAGGCAGAAGGATCACTAGTTTGAAGCAGTCTGGGTTACATAGTGAGATCTTGTCTCAATAAGCAAACAAACAAATAAATAAGATGAAAACAGTTCTTTAACAACTAAATTTTGATATTTCATGTAAGTTAAAACAATCTATTGTCTGTGGGATTTTTGGAAGTACATAGAAAAATATGCAAGAATCCTAGCCAGGCTCAATTTCTCTACTCATGTACAAGAAAAATTTTACCGAAATCAAAATATATGTAGGGCTGGGGATGAAGCTCAGTGATAGAGCTCTTGCCTAGCAGGTGTGAAGCCCTGAGTTCAATATAGCTCCCTGAGGGCTGCTACACCTAAATATCTAAAAGTGATCTGAATAAAGCAAAAATATAAAAGTATATCTGAAAAGTCAAAGACTGAGTTCAAAGTCAAGAGCTGAGCTTTCATGGATTATACTTCAATATTTGATAATTAAAATCACAATTACAGTTCAGAAACTGCTTACCTTCTAATGCCCAAATATGCATTTGGGCATCTGAAAAAACAGCCTGAATGGAGGCCTCTGGGTGCTATAAATAAAACAAAAACATATAAGAACATTCTCCTCAGTAAAAACTGTACTATGTCATTTTATAAACTATGTTAAATGTTGCCTGCAACAAGAAAAGACAGCTGCCTCTCAAGAATGAAAATCTGAGGTGCTTGCTTTTTTTTGGTGGCATGGGGCTTTGAACTCACAGCCTCACACTTCCTAGGCAGGCGCTCAACCACTCGATCCACTCTGCCAGCTCTGAAATAAGTTCTTACACAAAGTTTTAACTATGAGGAAGCATTTTGCCTTCAGTTTCTCATTTAAAATAAGAGTTACGTGTGCTCCTAAATGCTGTTATGCTTTGATGTTTATTCCCTACCTAGCACGTGTTCCTCATGTAGACTGTGGCTAAAAGACTATAACCCTTCACTAATAGTAGTCTTAATAAAAATTATTCTTGGAAAAAAAAAAGTTACATGTGCTCAACCCACCTCAGAGGATTAGTTCAGAGACTACATAAGAAGATGGTTATAAAAGTCTTTTATGAAATAAAAATTTTTTAAATAAAAGAACTGCCTAAATGCTCACTAGTTCTCTTTAAAAATTGTCAACTCTCAACTCTACTCCAAAGAAAACCCACCTAGCCTTCTTCAACATGCTGTGGGTCAGACAGTGTGGAGCAGCAATAGGCCTACTTTAATGAATGCTGGCTTTGGTTAGGCACCCAGTGAAGCCTATTTAATTACAACATAATCAGTCTGTTAAGTTACATTTCCCAACATCAAATAGCAATGTCTATATCGTCTATCATATAATAGATCTACTTGCAAAATTAGAATCAAAGGTGGCCATTCACTTCCAAGGGAGAAGATTTTGGTCAGTGTCCGCTCTGCAACTTACTGGCTATGTGCTTTAGACTAGCTACTTGATCCCTCTGAGCCTCAAGATGCCTTAAGGATGTAAAATGAGGATAAACACGTATGTCTCACAGAGATGCTATTAGAATTAAATGAGAGAAATTAAGTGAAAGAACATGACACATACATAAGATACTCAATGAAAGTTTTCTTCTCCTTGTGAAACCAAACACAGAGGTAAAACTTTAGACAACCCTCTCATACTCTTCATGAAAAACAAGACACTTTCCTCTAATGGATAGCCCAAGGTAGATTATTTTTTTGGAAAAGGTTATTGCCAGTTGGATCTTCCTTCCACGACAATAAAAAAGGAGTTTCAAGAACCTGAAATAAGTCAAGCATAATGGCTCATGCCTGTAATTCTAGTTACTTGGGAGGCAGAGATCAGGACAATTGTGGTTCAAGGCCAGCCCAGATAAAGAGTTAGCCTCATCTCAATCAATAAAAAGCTGAGCATAGTAACATGCACCTGTCATCCCAGTTACTCAGGAAGCAAAAAGAAGAGGAATGCAGTACAGGCTGGTCGGGCCATAAAAGCAAGACCCTATTCAAAAATAATTAAAGAAAAAGGACTGGTGGTGTGGTTCTGATGACTGAGCACCTTCTTAGCATGTGCAAGGCCCTGATTTCAAACCCTAGTAGTACACATCTCCTCCCACCCACCACCCCCCGCAAAAAAACCCAAAACACTGAAATGACTGTTCACTTGAAAAAGCAGTTTGAAAAACCTGAAATGACTCTTACTCTACATTCTATCAGGGTTGTTCAGATTTCTTTCCCCATCAATGTATGACCCCCCCCCAAATATAAAAATGAGTAATGTATTCTGCCAATGCAAACTGTCACTTAAATACACTGAATGCAACTGTTAGTCTGTTTGCTAATGTTACAAAGTCTACAGAAAGAGAGGAGTTATATTTAAAAAACTAAAGAGCTGGGCGCCAGTGGCTCAGGCCTGAAATCCTAGCTACTCAGGAGGCAGAGCTCAGGAGGATCGTAGTTCAAAGCCAGCCCAGGCAAATACCTCTCAAGACCCTATCTCAAAAATATGTAACACAAAAAAGGGCTGGTAGAGTGGCTCAAGGTAAAGGCCCTGAGTTCAAGCCCCAGTACCACGAAAAAAAAAAAAAAAAAAAAAGAAAGAAAGAAGGAAAACTAAAAAGAAAAATTCTTTCCTCTATATATAGGCAAAAGTTTTGTTTATCAAAGGATCAATTAGCACACAACAGCTGCAGTAAAGCAAAAACAGGAATAAATCTTTAGTTTCTGCAACTGAGATTTACTCTTCTGTGGCAGCTGGAAGAGCTGATAGGCACATCAAAAAGTTCATATTTATTTATTCATTCATCCATTCATTTTCTTTTGTTTTGTTTTTTTTTAAACAGGGTTTCACTATGTAGCCCAGGCTGGGCTTTAATTTTCAATTCTCTTGCCTTGGCCTCCAAGTACTGGGATCAGAGATATGCACCACCATGACCAACCTTGGTTATTTTGTTTATGGCTGAATTATAACTTTTTGTCCATCAAAAAATTAATATCTGTCATTTAACTCAGTCATCTATCTCTTCTGAACATCAAATTGGTCATAATGATGTTAGCAGGAAAGAGCCATGAAAATTATGGATTGTCCACTAGGTAAAGATCCAAGCAACAGGAAGGGATCCATGCTACCTTATCAGCACAAAGCTGCCAGCAGCCAAGAGTCTCAGGAGGCCAACTACAGCACCTACTCTTACCTTGGTAAGATGTGTGGTGAGACTACTGTTCAAATGGAGGTTCAGAAAGGCACTATGCAAAGCTTCACGGCTTGCTAAGATCAATCTATAAAATATTTACATGTCACATCCTATCTGCTTCTTCATACTTCATTTTCTCTTTCCCCAATTTCAAGGCTGTAAGTTTATATTCTTACCTTACTGAAAAAGTACATTATCAGCACCCGTTTTGACAAGAAATTCTTAGTCTGAATTAGAGAAAAGTGAAAATTAACACGTTTGCATTATTAATTCTATTCAAATATATTACATATTTCCAGGTTCTTCCTGATGTATACTTAAAATGGAAACACCTCACATCTTTTTTTTTTTTTTTATTCATATGTGCATACAATGTTTGGGTCATTTCTCCCCCCTTCCCCTTGCCCCCTCCCTTACCCCCTCGCTCCCTCTCTTACCCCCCAACCCCTCACTACCAGCAGAAACTATTTTGCCCTTATCGCTAATTTTGTTAAAGAGAGAGTATAAGCAATAATAGGAAGGAACAAGGGTTTTTGCTAGTTGAGATAAGGATAGCTATACAGGGAGTTGACTCGCATTGATTTCCTGTGCGTGTGTGTTACCTTCTAGGTTAATTCTTCTTGATCTAACCTTTTCTCTAGTTCCTGGTCCCCTTCTCCTATTGGCCTCAGTTGCTTTAAAGTATCTGCTTTAGTTTCTCTGCGTTGAGGGCAACAAATGCTATCTAGTTTTTTGGGGAAAACACCCACATCTTGCAAAGAACAATTAATATTTATAATAAACTATGGAAGCAGACACCTTTTTACTATAAATTGGACAACCAAGATGAGCCATCTAACCTAAATTGTACCGTGCTCCCATGTGTACACATTTAACAAGAGACCTACCATGACAGAAGGACTTTAAATGGTTCTAGTGGTATTTTCTAAGACCATATTATTATTTTTTAATTCTCTACTCTCCAGCCATTTACCCCTTAATACCAAAAAAAAAGTATGTGTCCCCTATGGGGGAAAAAAACAAAAGGCACAAAGGTGGTTTTCCACTAGCTGACATCTTCTTAGTTATCAAGTAACTGACTTGAAAGTGAATTCTCTTTGACCACACTCTCACTCAAAGCAACATGGTTAGTCAGAGGGATGTAGCAGGCAGAGCATATCTAGTTGCACAGAAAGTGACATGGCAACACTTAACAGCAAATGGGGCCATATGGGATCCTAAAGTTTACAATATGTCTTGACTTATTTTCTCACTACTAATCTGATTGTTCTATCAGCAAACGTTTATAATTTCTCCCATCTAAAAAAAAAAAAAAAGATTCTAAGGGTGTAAGAGGTTGAATAGGGTAGAAATATTATGTTATCATGCATGAAAATGGAAAAATGATAACTACTGAAACTGTTCAAGGAATGGGGGAGGGGATTAAAGGAGAATGATGGAGGGGGTGAATTCAACTATGATATAAGAACTTTCGTAAATGTCACAATGTACCCCCAGTACAATAATAATAAAAAAAAGAAAGAAAAAAAATAAGAGTCCTTATATTCCTTGACTCCTATACTCCCCCTCCACAGCAACTGCCCAATTCCTCTGTCCCACTTACAGCAAAACTTTCCTGGTGGTCTCTAATTACTCTACCAGTTCCTTCTGACCTACACCAATTAGGCTTTCCTCTGCCCTACTCAACCCAACAGCTCTTTTCAAGGACTCAGTGTCCTCCATGTTCCTAGCTGCACTGTAATTGTTAGCTCTCATCTCATGCTACCTATCAGCTGCATGTGACACTTCTTCCTTCTCCTCTTGGACACTCTTTTCTGGGTTCTCCACTCACCTCTGTGGCCATTCCTCAGTGTCCTCTACTATTCCTCCTCATCTCCTATACCTTTAGTCATTAGAGGACCTAGTCCTTGGGACTCATTTCTTTTGTAGCTACACTCAAGAGTTTGCACTGAATCTTGTTATTATAAATATAATTTATTCTCTGATGACTTCCAAATGTACAGTTTTAGCCCAGAATTTCCTCCCTACACTCCAGATGTATACCTAATTTCTTACTAGGTATTTTCACTTGGTTGTCTAATAGGCATCTCAAAGTTGTCATGTACAAAATCAAACTCCTAAGTTCCCTACCTCACCTCTACCAAATCTCCTTCTTAGCACCATTAGTAAATTGCCTTAATAAATTGCAACTATACCATTCCAGCTCCTTAGGCCAAAAGCCTTAGAGTCAGCATCTGGGACTCTTTCTCCTATTTACTGCAAGCAAATTATAATTGTTACAGTGGCATCCTGTTAAATCTACCTAAAAACACATGTCAAGACCTTGACTGCATCTTGCGGCTGCCATCACAACCCTTCTGATCCAGACTCAGCATTCCAACTAGATTTCTGCAGCAGCTTTAACACTGTCTCTGTGCTTCTAGTCCTGCCTAGGACTGAGAATCTAGACTCCAAAAGCTTAGTCTCAACCCAGCTACTGCAGCAGCTCTTTTAAAATATAAGTTATATCATGCTTATGGGCAAAACCACACAATGGCTTTCCATTTCAGGAGAAAAGGCTAGTCTTTACACTAGCTAATGGCCCAATACACCCCAGTTACCTGCCACCTCTCTGACCCCATCACCCAACTCACTCACCCTGCTCCAACTGCACTGTCATCCATAGTGTTGCTTACATACACCAAGTACAATCTCTCCTGAGATTATCTCTTTCCTACTCTCTGCCCTCCCTTTAAGTCTCTGACAGAGCGTCACCTTTTCAATGAGACTTCCCTGATCAGTCCATGCAAAATGGTACTCTCTCCCTTAAGTACTTTTCCCTCATGCTCTGTTTTTCTATGTAGAGTTTTAAGACATCAAATTTCTTCCCATTTGAGCATACTTTTTGTGTCTTGAACATGATCTATTATCAGGATGCATCTTAAAGTTAATACTATGCTGTAGTTTAAGACAATTTTTGTTCTTAATAGTGACTAAAATGGCTTCCATTATTCCAATTAAAGGCATTCTCTATTCCAAAGAAATACAGTATAATATATTTGCTTGCTCATCTATTTCCCCTCAGTAGGATGTAAACATTACATGGGCAAGGGCTTTGTTATGTTTGCTATTTTACCAGTGCCTAAAGTGATACCTTGAATATATGAAGAACTCAACTATATTTTTTTGGTGATACTGAGGCTTGAACTCAGAGCTCTAGCACTTGAGCCACACACCCAGCCCTTCAATTATGTCGTAAGTAAAAGAATTCACAGATGGGCTGGGCACCGGTGGCTCACGCCTTTAATCCTACATATTCAGGAGGCAGAGATCAGAAGGACCACAGTTCGAAGCCAGCCTGGGCAAATAGTTTGTGAAACCCATCACAAAAAGAGCTGGTGGAGTGACTCAAGGTAAAGGCCCTGCGTTCAAGCCCAGTACCACAAAAAAAAGAATTCACAGATGGAAGGCAATGTATCAGGTTAAGTCATATGAAACTGCAATTTGTATAACTCTATGTCAGTCAAATACTGACAATTTCATATGGGCCAACTTAAAACATGAAGTGTCAAAAAGAAAAATTTCTGTTATTCCTGATGACTTACTCATGTGAGATCCTTAATGCTCTTAATGTTACATGTAAATATAAATCCTGTAACCATATCATCCTACCTGTTCACGCTTATTCTGAATCCATGAGTAAATCACATTGGGCTGTCGCACTGTCTTACCCTCAGCACTAACAGAGGTGCGTGGAGATGGATTAGAAAATTCAGACATTTGCTGATCTAGTTGAAAAAAAAAAAACACACAGATACACACACACACACATACACACACAAACACACACACAAAAACAATAATAAGGTGAGAACTTCAGCTGTCTGTTTTTTTTCAACTATGAGATTTAAAGCTTTAGAAAATACATAGTCCTCACCAGAAGCAGAAGTCCATAATCTTGGCCCTCTTCTTAAAAGCTGAGGACTTTGTGGTGATCCATAGCAGGTGTTTACATCAAAAATTCCCGCCATCCGATTCACCACACTAGAGCCAAACGGAGTCCCAAAGGGACTTGAAACACCAGGTGTAGGTAACTTTGAAGACAACAGTGTCGTTTTAGCTAATGGTGGCATTGAAGGCCGAGGCATATGGCTAGATTTTGGTGTCTGAAGAGCAGTTTCTTCTGTAAAAGAAGGCAGCCTGAGCCAAGGAGGCTAACACAGAAGTTTCAAATTTTGTAACTCTCACTCTTGGGGAGGGAGAGATGGGACTTGAACTCAGGGCCTTGTGCTTGCTATGCAGGTGCTTTATCATTAGCTATGCCCCAACCCTAAGCTATTTTGAATGAACTAATCAATTCACATCTTATTTTTAAATGACAACTTTAAATTCTGCACTAGAATTTATCAACTTTTAAAGGTGAATGATGGAGGGGATGAATTCAACTATGATGTACTGTAAGAGCCTTTGTAAATGTCACAATGTAGCCCCAATACAATAACTTTAAAAAATGCAAAAGAAAAAGAATCATCTATCAACTTTTACTACATATTCCTACACTATTACTTTTCTATTGTGAAAATGTGTAGGAAATCTACTAACCTTTTCCCATTTTCTCCAAAAGTCACACTAAAGACTAATTTTCCCAGGATATTAATTTTATTTGTAAATACTTTCTTTAAAAAAAAAAAATCATCTTAGATTGGCCTGGGGATGTAGCTCAGTGGTACTGTGCTTGCCTAGCATGCATGAGACCCTGAGTTCAATCCCCAGCACTACAAAACAAAACATCTTATAACTACCAATTTAGTTATTGAGTCTATTGTACAAAAACAAAGGAATTTTTCCTGACACTATACTACAAATCACAAAAACATACAAACTACTCAAGGATTCTACCTTCTGCATAAGAAATCAGACATGCAAAGTAGCAAATTTTCATACCAGCTACTTGGAAGGCAGAGATAGAAGGATTGCAGTTTATGGTCAGCTTAGGCAAAAACTTAAGCAAGACCCTATCTCAAAGAACAAGCCAGTGTGGTGGTGCATGCTTGTAATCCTAGCTATGCAGGACATGTAGGTAGGAGGATCTGGGTCTGAGGCCAGTCCCAGGCAAAAGTGAGACCCTATCTCAGAAACAGCTAGAGCAAAAACAGCTGTGGGTGGGGAGCATGGTTCAAGTGGTAGAGTGCCTGCCTGGCAAGCCTGAGGCCTTGAGTTCAGACCCAAGTACACCAAAAAAGAAAAAAGAAAAAAAAAAGACTAAAAGTTCAGATACTGGGTCCAAATTCCGCCCTGAGAACAGAGTGCCATTGATTCAGAGAATCCCTTTAGGATGAAGCTTGCACTCTCAGGTTTACCACATCCTCACCAGTTTCACTCACCTTCATTAACGTCTGGTTCCAAAGACATCTGAACATTAAATTCTTTTATCAGTCTTACACTCATTGGCAACTTCTATCTAAGGGATGTGGTGCACAGCACAGGTTCTTCCACCTGTACATTTTCCTCTCAGCTTTTATCTTTCAAATGGAAGGGGTACTAACACACTCTGCTACCTTGAAACAATGAGAGTGATGCTCCTTCAAAATCACTCAATCACTTTTGCTGCTTTACCCTGGACCAGCAACTTTTTGTCTCTGGGATACTGCACCCAGAACAGCATCCAGTATTATCTACGAAGATTCACCTGACCTTGTACTGACGTCTTTTTATTTGATGACCACCATTTTGTCAGTCTTTTAAATGACACTGCCACACTGAATTTAATGAAAAACACTTATTAACTGGCAAATGAAAAATTCATATATTTTTGGTGTATAATAACTTCATGTTTTGGACTTAATTTTCTTTTTTTTTAGCATTACTGAGGTTTGACTCATTCTAACCATTCCCCTAGCCCTTTTTGCTTTAGTTTATAGGGTAGGGTATTTTTTGCTCAGGGTTAGCCTGTGATCATATCCTCCTACCTACACCTTTCATGTACTGGGATCACATATGTGTACCACAAGCCTGCCTTACTTTTTAGGGTTATTTTGCTTTGTTCAGGTTTTTTTTTTTTTTCCCCAGTGCCAGGTTTTGAATTCAGGGCCTCACGCTTGCTTGGCAGGTGCTCTACTACTTGAATCATACCCTCCAAATTATGACCTTTTTTTCTGTTTTAAGAGTCTTTTTCACCACACTGGCCTCAAACCCCAACCCTTCCATCTCTGCTTCCCACACAGCTGGAACTATAGGCATGTACCACCATGTCTGACCCAAAGTGTAACTCAGGCTGGCCTTGAACTCATGATCCTCCTGCTTCATTCTCTCTGCTTTGTTGATTACTAGTGTGAACCAACATAGCCAGTTTATTTTTTCAATCTACCATAATACCCAGGTCTTCTTGATTTAATCCCATGTGTTGGATCTTGTCTAAAAGTATACATTGTACTCATATAATCTAAGTAATCTTAGATTAATTACTGTCATCTTTCTCAAGAAATAAGATGCAGGTGCCAAAGGCATGGCTCAAGTGATAGAGTACCTACTTAGCAAGCACAAATCTGAGTTCAAACCTCAGTACAACACCACCCCCCCACACCATTAAAAAAAAGATAATGTTTTTCCTGTCTTAGAAGTACTAGGAGTTACCTAGAGAATTCAATTTCTTAGGTTCCACTGGGTATGATGAAGACAGTCTCCCATTTGTAGCAGCAGCTTCTTGGTAGAGAACCAGTTTCTGAGTCATATCATTTAAAAGATTTAAGCACTCTCTGGCAATGGCAGCCCAATTATGGGGATGTCCACCTAGGAGAACCAAACAATAGTTTTTAAAATGTAAACAATCTTACATTCTCTCAAAGTAGGTGGGGGAATGGATAAGAAATGTTACTAATGTAGCACTTTGCATCATTTTCATTGTGGTCTTCTTTTTTCAGTTAATCTACTATGGATACTCTTCACCTAATACACAGCAATTTAGTAAACTTGTGGATGAATCAATTTACTCAAAAGTCTATAAACAAAAACTATTTTACGTTAAAAAGCTCCCAAGTTGATTATTAAAATAAAGCCATGCAGTAGGGCATGGTTTGAGTCAGAAGGACCTGGGTTACACCACTAGGAATATAAGACGGCTAAACCTGTGAAAAAATGAACTAAAAACACCAAAAATTAGGATGTCCAAGGAGATAGAGCCCAGACACATCTGTCATGTCTGATCCACCAGGATTCCTTACATTTTCATTTACAGTAGTCCTTCCTTATCCACAGTTCCGTTTTCCACAGAAACTCCAGTTACCTGCAGTCAACCATGTTGATCCAAAAATATCAAATGGAAAATCTCAGAAATAAACAATCCAAAAGTTTTAAATCGTGGTTGTCCTGAGTAGCATACTCCCATTCCATGCTAACTGATCTCCCAGGATGTGAGTCATCTCTTCACCAAGTGTATTCACACTGTATACACTACCCACCCACTAGACACTTTCCAGTCATCTCAATGATGAAACTGAGTATCATGGTATCGGAGAGCTTCTTCAAATATCCCTTATTTTATAAGTAAAATAAATAATGGCCCTAAGGCACAACATTAGTGATACTGTCAATTTTATTACAGTATATTGTTATAATTGTTCTATTTTCTTCTTACTATTGTTAATCTTTCACGTGCTTAATGTACAAACTTTATCATAGGTATGCACGTATTAGAAAAAACATCCACTGGGGTCTTCAAACAAATCCCACAGATTAGGGAGGTGACTGTGTATAAGAACCAGTATTTGCTAATCTATCACTAGGAATGATTCATTATTTGAAAATGATATATTGTATACTTTCAGAGTTTATTTATCTGCTTATCTTATTATTTAACATAAACTAGTATGCCAACTCTTAAAAATTTTCTGACTTCTTCTGATTTTCTAAGACCTTTGTCTCCTAGAGTAATAATGTAAAAATCAAGCATTCTCTGTTATGTGCTGAAAAGCCTACTGAAAATTTTCCCCATCTTATGAGACTAATCATTCTCCTTCACTTAGATACCACCTCAAACACTCGTTTACAATGTTAAGAGAAATAACACTTGCCAACAAACACACACAAATTTTCCATTTGGTAGACTTTAAGATACTTTGTATGCTAATTCAGTACCATTAGGAACTGTGTAATATTCCAGTTAGATTTTAGTATGTCCTAGAATGCAAGTACTTTGGCAGAGCATATGCCAACTTGTCACAGTTTACTTGAATATCTGGAAAAATAATATACAAGAGAATTGCTAAGTTAACCCAAGCCTGATAGGAAAGTATTGTTAATTTTCTACAATATTGACTCAGGATTTCTCACATGATTAAAAGTAGCTCCAATTAATTATTTTTTATAAAACTGGATTTCAATTTGTAGAAAGTCTTTTTACAACCTGGGAATTTGGCAAGTTTGGCAAAATAATGAAAGTGCTAATTAGGAAGATAAAAACCTAGTTTTAAGACTCTTCTAGCATTAAAATGCCAAAGATTCTTAAATGATACTTTTCTGCTCTGAAACCTACTGCATATTTCCTTCAGGTTAAGATATTTAGGAAGAAAATACTTTTTCTAATGATATACATTCTACCCTCAGCCATGCAAACACTTAAGTTGCATAAGATTTAGGTCCATACTTTATTTAAGGGACTCCTTGATGTAATATTTTACTACTTACATCTCTCTCCCCAAAAACTGTGAGTGAAGGACATTCTGCATATAACGCCTGATCAAGTCTATTACTTTTAGCAATACCTGGTTGGCTGAGGCTAAAAACTTCTTGTCTTCGAGAAGGAGAATATTGAGAAAGCAGCATCAAGTCCTGCAAGGCTAAATACTAAAAGGAAAAAAAATACACATTATTTATTTTTTAACTTCTACATAAACCTTACTTATGAACTGGGCTCATTATATATCTGAAGGGAAAAAAGAGATGATTTTTTCATGAAATAAGTAACATTTCAGGACTATAACCTTCTTTTCTGTATTTTCAGAACTTTCTGCCTCTACCCTCCCTACTCGCTGTAGGCTCCAGCTACATATAAGGTACTACAGAACTCTTTGTGTTCTTTCCTACCTGTACAGTGAGAGACTTAAACATCACCTTCCTCCTGGAACTTTCCTCAGCTCCCTCATGCAAACATACACTGACATAGCTCTCCATAGTGGCACCTAACATGTCTGTAAATGTCTATTTACTGCTTCATCTGGTTCCACCCACAAAACTGTAAGGCCCACAGGATAGGGACACAACCTCTTGCTTGCTATCACATCCAAAAGCAGTGCCTAACACACAGCAGACACTCATCTGTTGCTTTTTTACCTACAAACCTATGTTCTTCTCCCCTGGCAAACCTCTTTAAAGATTCTTCAAAATACCACTCCTTAGGGCTGGTGGAGTGGCTCAAGTGATAGAGTGCCCACCTAGCAAGCATGAAAGTCCCTGAGTTCAAACCCACAGAAAAAGACAAAAAAAAAAGTCTCATGACAAAATACCACTCCTTCTGTGAAGTCCTCTTTAGTTGGTCTCAAGCAGAATAAATGATCCTACCACAGTGGCCAAAATAAATTTTAATTATGTTGTGTGTCTGCCTTTTCCACTAGGCTGTACTATGTCTTACTCATCATTCTATCCCAAAGCAACTAGTAGTGACTAACACCTGCCCACTAAAGATTTGGTGAGTAATCAAATGAGTAACTGATATTGTTTATTTAACAAATTAGTCATAATTGATATTTAAAGGTAATCAGAGCCTCAGTAGTTCATTTTCTTACTTCTTTAAAACTTCTCCATACTATGACCCAAACTCTGGGTTCCAACCATTTTCTTTTCTTGTTAAAGCACTATGAAAGCCAGACATGGTAGCACATGCTTTGGTACCATGAACTGTTTGTGAAAAACGAATGCATTTAGTTGGATATCACTGTATTTCATGATTGGAAATACTTGTATACCTTTTCTGAATACAGAATTAGATAGCTTAGCTGGATGTGGAGGTAGCTTAGCTGGATGTGGAGGTGGATGACCATAGCCTCATCTACTCAGGAGGCTAAGGCAGGAAGATTACTTCAACCTCGATGTTCAAGGCCATCCTGGATGAGATCCCATTTCAAAACAAAGAAAATTTAGCTAGTTTGCACATATGCAGTGCACTTTATACTCGCACTTTAGTCACTTGAAATGAAAACTGAAAAAATAAATAGCACTAGCAAGTAGGTGATTTTTTATAATACCAGTACTAGAATACTCTAGGCCCTGAAAAAACATATTTAAACACCTAAGTATGCTAAATAGTAAGTCGTCTATAAGGTAAGTTAGAGGTGACTGAGTAAAGATAGAAACCACATACCTTTATGATGAGGGGGGGATTGCTGTTTAAAACTTTCGGTAGGCATTCATCTGATTCTTCTGCAAATGGTGGTTGAACAGGGAACACATGAGCCTAACAAATGTAAACAAATACAAAGCACATAAAAATGATTATTTTCATGACCTTGTTCTATTCAATAAATGAGCACTAATTGAAATTATAAAAAGAGACAACACAGCCAAATTAATATCTACAGTGTTTCTTGCAAAAACAGGTTAAAGTTACATGAACCAAATACTCCATTTTTAAAAATTATACTGTCCCAGCCAGGCATGGTAGCCCAGCACTCAGGAGGCAGAGACAGGGGTATCATGAATTCAAGGCCAACCTAGACTACGTAGCGAATTTCAGGCCAGCCTGGGGTATAGCAAGACTCTGTCTCGAAAAAACAAACGGAACAAACAAACAAAAGTTACTGTCTCAATTTCATTAGATTCTAACCTACTCTAACTCTGGAGGAGTGGCTCAAGTGGTAGAGCACTTGCCTAGCAAACACAAGGCCCTGAGTTCAAACCCCAGTACCGCCAAAAAAAAAAAGAAAAATTTCAGAAACAAAATATTGTGAAGAATTCTTCAAAACCAGAGATAGTAAAATGAAACAGAAACATGTATTTTCTAAGCCAAATGCTTGAATGATAAAACTAATGTAATTCTTGACTTAAAAAGATTTTTGTAGGAATTATTCAGATGATCACCTCAATTTTCAGAATAAATTTCAAAACTTTCCTTTGAAAACAAATACCTTATTACTATATATTCAAATATTTTAATACTATTTATGTCAATAGCATATATAGCTAACTTAAAATTCAGGGCCATCTAGTATATATTTAATAGAGAAATAAAAGCCTCAAGAAGAGCACTAGACTCTAAATAATGAATATGAATGTACCATTCAGATTGATTCCTAAATATCAAGTGAACATAAACATTGTTTATCAGAAAAAATACAGCAAATGACGGCTACAAATGACATGCCCCTAATAGGGGCAGTGCTGCACACACTGGGAGGCTGAGGCAGGAGAATCGGGAGTTTGAGGCTAGTCTGGGCTACATAGGGAGACTCTTGTCTCAAGAAAAGCAAAAAAATTATATATATGTATTATGTATATATGTATATATATATACATACACAGACACACACACATAAAATAACACAAAATTTAAAAATAAATTAAGAGATGATATATTCTTAATAGTCACAGAAGAGAGACCAAAACCCAGATTACTGAAATGGCTTTAGACATAGCAGACTGATCAGTGCTTTACTAAAACTCAATTTGTGTATTCTAAAGCACAAAAGTGTGAACACAAATCTCAATACTGACCTCTGTGGCATAGATCTTGAAGAGCATCCACGAGATATACCAAGTCATCAGAAGGAAGACACCACATAGCCAGACGTGGTAGAGTAATGAAAGGTTCAAGAGGCCACTTACTGTGTCAAGAGCCTGTGAAACTGCCTATGAAAGCAGAAAGTACTATTTAATCCCATGGGGATATATGATCTAAATACTTAACAGGCTTGGAACTCCACATTGAGCAATAAGTCCTACTTCTAAATAATAATCTTCATAGACACCTCTCCTTTTATATTCTTATAGAGGTCTTTCCATATATACTTTCTTAGGAAGTACCTAAGGGAGCCATTGGTGAAGCACAGGCCAAAACTGGGCCAACTGTTTGTTGTGCTCCAACTCTTCACTGCCATTCACTGTAGAGGAAGAATGAGCCAAGCCTATGAGCTTAATTTCTTAGGCGAGGTGAAAGTTTACCACTGAAATTATTAAACATAACCAAGGAGCTGGGTATGGTGGCACACACCTGCAATCCCAGCACTGGGGAGAGAAAGGCAGGAAGATTGCGAGTTCAAGGCCAGCCTGGGCTACATAGTGAAACCATGTCTCAAAACAAATAAAACAACAGCAACAACAACAAAAAATGACTAGGACCTCTCCTGGACCATTTCAGTTTTATTTGTGTATCTTATGCAGTTTCAAAGCACATGCTACTAAACAATTATCTCTACTTTTTAAACAATTTAAGAAACGATTAGAACGAATGATTGTTGAAAGAGGAAAAAAAATCAAAAAGAGGCATGAACCACACAACTGAAAAAGACCACCTTTATTTTGTATAAAAGCTTATCTAGCCGGGTGCCAGTGGTTCATGCCTGTAATCCTAACTACTCAGGAGGCAGAGATCAGGAGGATTGTGGTTTGAAGCCAGCCCAGGAAAACAGTTCTGTTTGAAGCCATTCCCAGGCAAATAGTTCTGAGACCCAATCTCAAAAAAAAAAAAAGCCCTTCACATAAAAGGGCTGGCAGAGTGGCTCAAGTTATAGAACACATGCCCAACAAGAATAAAGCCCTGAGTTCAAGCCTCAGTGCTGCAAAAAAAAAGTTTATTGAACAACAAATATTAGATACTATTGTTTACTTCTGGAAATAAGAACAGGGTGACTAGAGAGAGGCACAAGGACACTTTTTCACTGTCAAAGACCTACACTCCCAGTCCATTTGCTCTAGTTATTTTGGAGATAGGGTCTCCTGAACTATTTGCCTGGGCTGGCCTTGAACCATGATCTTCCTGATCGAGGTCAGCCCAAACAGCTAAGATTACAGACATGAGCAACCAGTGCCCAGCTCACCATGTACTTTTTTTTTAATAGATCTTTGAAATCTTAACTATGGAAACTATGCTTATTTAAAAGTAAATGAAACCTGTCTCTCTCAGGAGAACTTTTAATGATTTATTAAGGATTTAACTATCAAATAAATATTGAAATTATCACCTAAAGTAAAAGAGGATAAACCCAATTATACATGGTATACAATATCCGAGTGTTAAATAGATGAGGATAGCAGTATACCACAGGATGACTTGGATGAAGAAGCTAGAAGGAAATGGTCTCAGGGTACATTAGCCTTAGTTTGATCCCATGAGTAGCTGAAGAGTACTCATGGGCACAGCAGCACAGAGGTTTTCCAGCCTAACAGTAAATGGGAAGGGGTAGGTGCCCTCTTGTTAAACTGACTGCCTGCCTTTCTAGGTCTGTTCTTATTTTTCTAGTTTTACTTCTTATTTCGGTTTAAATACATATATATTGGGCTGAAAGTGAGGTTCAAGTGGTAGAGCATCAGTCTAGCACGCATAAGTCCTGAGCTGAAACACAAGTACTGTAAAAAAAAATTAAAGGCTAAATATAAACAAAGCATCTGGAAAGTAACAAACATTTAAAAGGATGGAAACAGAGTTAAAATTAGACTTTCAAAGAATCACTTACTCATCTATGTGAAGGTCCATAGCAGTGCTAATCCAAGCTTTGGGTATATGGCCTGAGGAGAACAAATATCAAGCTATAAATATAAAAAGTTAATAAAATAAATTCCAATAATGGTTTAGACTATGAGGTCATAGTAGACACCAAGACCTCAAAGCAAAATGCTAGACTGTTTGACGAGGAATGGATAGGAGAAGGGAATAATTTTTAATGAGGTGTATCATTCTAGTTTACTCCCACATGCTTTGTAAATTTCCAAAATAATTTCTAAGTTGCATATGATTATACTATACAGTTATGACATATATATTTTTAGTCATCATGGTTTATTTTAAAAATACCAGTCTGGGCTGGGGATGTAGCTCAGTGGTAGAGCACTTGCCTAGCACTGAACCTTGGGTTCAAACCCCAATAAGTGTGTGTGGTGGGGGGAAGCAGACAGACAGACACAAAAACAGTAAGTCCCTCAACAACAGTTCAAATTCTAGTTACCATAGTATGTTAACTATGATGGATTACATACAGTACTTCTAGCTTTGTGGTATATAAATCACTATGTAGGAAACAGCTGGGTGCTGGTGGCTCACGCCTGTAATCCTAGCTACTCAGGAGGCAGAGATCAGGAGGATTACAGATCAAAGCCAACTTGAGCAAAGGGTTGATGGAGTGGCTCGAGGTGTAGGCCTTGAGTTCAAGCCCCAGTACTGGGGAAAAAAATCGTTATGTAGAGAACAGATGCACACCATGATCTGCAACCAATAGCATCACATGTCTCAAGGTCTACAGGTGATCTGTCACATTTGTTCTTTAGCTCAGACACACATAGCAAAGCATATAACTGTGGTGACTTCTTGTCTCACATGATAAATCCATAAGACATATTACAAAAGTGAGTAGGTTAGAATAGGGGAAAAAGGAAACTAGCCAAAAAAGATCAAATGCAGCAAAGAAAAGTGAGAAGGCTGAAAATAAAATCTGAATTGAATATAGAAGAGTTATGAAAGGAGCTGATCGTGAGAAGCCTCATACAACTACTGTGCTGGCCCACATGTAGGACCCCAGGAGAAGAGCTAAAGTAGCTGATCTATGAGGAAGATTGTAACAGCTATATAGAAAAGTGGATTTATAATCTATGAGTGAAAAAAAGTAAACAATTGGATGGCATAGACACAGTGAGAAAAATCTTATAAAATTATATCTATGGAAAAAACAGGATCACAAGACGTTCTAGTCTGAAAACAGTAGGGTTGATTGTTGGATTTTGCTTACATTATTATGTATTGATGAGATTAAGGTTTTCAACATGCTATTTAGTAATAAATAAGAGTTGCACTTTATGCATAAAATTCATGTGAATTCCTTAAGGTTTCCTTACTGAACAGGATATTATCATGTTAAGTTACAAACTTATTAAAAAAGAATATGTTATTTTGTGTGACCAAAAAGCACACAATATTTTGTTTCTAAAAGAATACATTTTTTAAAATTTGTGGCAAAAAAACATGGTTACCATGTTTAAGTGTGCAGTATAGTAATGCTATCTACATACACTGTTGTAAAACTGATCTCTAGAACTTTGTTTTAGTAGTACTGGAGTTTGAACCCAGGACCTCATACTTGCTAGGCAGGCAAGCTCCCATTTGAGCCATACCTGAACCTTCTTTTGCTTCAGTTATTTTTCAGATAGGGTCTCATACTCTTGGCCAGGTGCTGACGTTGGACCTCAATCCTCCTACCTATATCTGCCACATATCTGGGATTACAGACATGAACTACCATTCCTGGCTTGCTCGTTAAAATGGAATCTCACTAACTTTTTTGGCCAAGCTGACTCCAAACAGTAATCTTCCCAATCTCTGCCTCTTGAGTAATTGGGATTACAGGTATGCATCACTATGCCTGGCCTTGTTGGGGTTTTTTGAGACAACATCTCACTATGTAGCCCAGGCTGGTCTTGAAATCATGATCCTTCTGACTTGGCTTCCCAAGTGCTGAGATTACACATATGTACCACTATGCCCAGGCTTATCCAGAACTTTTCCATCTTGCTTGAGTGGAACACTTTAATCATAGAGCAGCTCTTCTTCTTCCCTCTCTTCAGCCTCTGAGAATAGAATTCTATTTTGGGCTTCTAAGAGTCTGACTACTTTAGATACAACACATAAGAGGAATATTGTCTTTCTGTGACTGGGTTATTTCAGTTAGCATATTGTAGCACATGACAAGATTTTCTTTTCTTTTTAAAGGCTAAATAGTATTTCATTACATGTATATATAACAATATTTTCTATTAACTAAACAAATACTCTAACAACTTAAACAATGAATTAGTTGGGTTAATCACACCCCGGTAACTGTAAAAAACATAAATACCATAAAGAGTAACTTTGTAACTGACATTTTCTGAACTAATAAATATACTACATTAAGAAGTAAAAATCCTTACCAAGAAAATAATATACAACGCAGAAATTTCTAACCAGGAACAGTGACTCCATACAACTATGTTTAACTAGTAAGATCAAAGATCTCCGAAAGCGCAGGAACTTGTATTGCTATAGGAAAAAAAAAGATCAAATGACACATCCCATATCCTTTTTTTTGGAGATAGGGTCTCATTATGCAACCCAGAACCCAGGCTGGCCTTGAACTCAATCCTGCTGCCTCAGTCTCCAAAGTGCTAGGATTATAGGTATGCATCAACACACCCAGCCATCCAGCCACTCCACATCATTACAAAGCAAGCACGGAGGCTAGGGTTAGCTCACGGTACAGTACTTGCCTAGCATGCATGAGGCTCTGGGTTCATTCCCCAGCAAAGTACAAAACAAAAACTGTACACAGACACAGATTACTCCAGAGACAAAAAAACAACTATTTAACATTTTTACACTTTACAACCATCTCACTGATATGAGATCAGAAATAAGAAAATTAACAATCCCCATTTGATACTAAGGATTATAGAGATAGAGAAAGACAGCCTCCCTGATGGGGTGAGGGAGAACCCTAATGGACATGTGAAACAGGACTGTACCCTATATATACTAAGTTTATTTCTATATATGCATATCTGTGAAAAATATAGTAGGCCCAGTAATATGTAATATATGTAATATACAAAATAATGAAATAGAGTAATTGTAACAGATTATAACACAAGTTATTTAAAAGTTATGAATCATTTGTTTCTGGAATTTTGCATTGAATACTTTCCAGTTGTGGTTGACTATGGTAAGTAGCAGAGAGCAAACCACGGATAAGGGGAGACTACTGTAACACAGCAGCCAACAGTCTGTGGGTACTTACCATGTACCAGGTACTAGTCCTAAGCACGTGCTTTAAGTCACTTAAATTCACAAGCTTATGAAGGAGGCTCTACTATTATCTCCTTCTCACAGATGAGGAAATAAGGCATACAAAAGTTATATAACTTAACCAATGTTACTGGCCAACAAGAGGAAAATCTGAGATACGAATCCATGCAGGCTAGCTTTAGAGTATTTCTTTTTTTTTGGTGGTAGTACTAGGGCTTGAACCCAGGGCCTCACGCATGCTTCACAAGCACTCTACCACTTAAGTTACATCACCAGCCCTTTCGTTTTTTTATTTTTTGCTGCTTTTGAGATAGGGTCATCCTGTTTCCACCTTCTGAGTAGCTGGGATTATAGATGTACACCACTATGCCTGTTTTGTTTTCCTTTTTTTGAGACATGGCATTGCTGTGTAGCCAAAGCTAACCTCATCCTGTTGCCTCAGCTTCCTGAGTACTGGCATCACAAATGTGCACCATGACACTCAGCTCAGAGCCTATTATCTTAAAGATAATGCATACTGCCTTTACACTAAATTGTTTGCAGAAAAATGGGAGGCAGTGAAGGCACTAACTAACCTGGGAATCAGGAGATACAAGGCCTAGTGCTCCCCTTCTGTACAACCCTGAGCAAGTCACATCTCTCTATCTGCAAAATAAGAAGGCTGAACCAACCAAATATAAATAATGTGCTGGGCTGGAGGTGGTGGTCAAGTGGTACAGTGGCTGCCTAGCAAGCACAGGCCAAGTTTAAACCCTAGTGTCACAAAACAAACAATTAAAATTAGTACTAAATTATACAAAATTGTCTTTATATGGTAGAAACAATAATTTATTAGCATTATCAGCTGTTAGCTACTGGGTCACTCTATTTTCAATCTGTGGTATTAAATGGATGATCACTTTCAGCTGAGAGCCAGGTCCTCTGGGGTACCTCATTTTTCTCTAATTGCTTTCTTTTCCTCGTTCCCTATATTCTTTATTGCATTTGGATCTAAGTTGACTTGCTATGGATATTTCTGTTTAGGATTTAGGAATTTTTCTCCTTGTGAAATTTTGAGGTTGTAAAGTTGACATTCAACTATTAATTCATCTTCATAGGCTGTGAAGAATTTGTAAACAGGTACTTTTTTTTCTTATACTCACAGACTACAGGGAAGTAAGGGCCAGATCATTTTCAAAGACCTCTATCTCCTTGCAGTACATGTATTTTCATCAAATCGTTCTCATGGATGCAACAGGAGTGTGACAATTTAAGTTAAACCAGGAGAACCTTAAGGTACCATTCTTATAGATTATACTCTCAACAGGACACACCATCTGTTTACATATCACTTCATCCCCACTAGACCTGGTTCCTCAGCCTGTCGGAACAGGAACAAAGTGAGAAACAGCACAATCAGGAATAGTAGAAACTGGCCAGGGACAGCCCTCATGTGATAGTGAGCCATCTCAACCAAACTTCCTCTGTCCTGCTAGAAGAGATGTCTGAGTTCTAGGAATAATTCCTACCAAATTAGATTTTTTACAACCTACCTGACAGTTTATACTATACCACTCAAACCAAGTAAAACAATTTTATTTATTGATACACAGCTTGCCTTGTTCTGAAAAAGATATGAGACAGTAACTGACATTCTAAAATTACGTAAACATCCCCAAGCTCATGAGGTTCTTAAGTCCAAAAAGAAGCTGGCAGCTATACAGAGTACATTGCGTGAACGTTGTCATCCTCCTCCTCCCCCAGCACCTATTAGGTCACAGCAAGTGCTACTACCTTACAGGGAGGGAAAGAGGGGAGCAAAGCAGTATTCTGAGTGTGGCAGCAGGAAAGGGGAGCCACAGCTCTCAAAACTACACTAAAGTCTCATGAAGATAAATCTCTTCTCTCTAAATGGCATTTTGAGGATTTCAGTTTTGTTGACCAAATCTTGATTTAATCAGATGAGATCAGTTATATGCACATACACCAAGGCAATCTTAATGCTGCCAAATTCTGGCATAAGGTAATACTCAAATGATATCTTACCTGTATGATGGGAAATGGAAGATAGTTCATGTTGTTAACAAAATACAGCAGGCTATAGCTATAGCCCATGAATGCTCCAGCCAGTAGGAAAAAAAGATGATATTCGTTTAAGCAGGTTTGTGCAACAGGGCTATCTAAACTGAAGGGAAAAAGTTAAGCTGTTAATTCAACAGTCTAGCACACATCTCACTGTTTTAGGTTTAATATTTACCAAGTAATGAGTTAAACACTTAAGAAATGTCCCAATTCCAACAAAATGATGTATTTTAGGCAAAAATGAGCAAAGATTAACAAAACTCTCTTCCCTGATTCATGAGAACCTGATTCTCGTTCTGTTCCCCTGAAAATATGACATGGGCAAGAATGTCTACAATGGTAGTAAGCAATGCTGCTCACAAGTTGGTAAACTGCATCTCCATGAGATGCAATGGAGGAATGAAGTGAAAAATGGCACAACTAGAATAAAAGAAACCAGAAGGGGAGAGCCCTGATATGACATCTCATAGTGATGCCATAACTTTAGGCTTCATTCTGTGTTGTTTCTTATGAGGCATCCCTCACAGGGACCCTGGATGCTATGCCTATAAAGTTGCTACAAAGGAAACTGGATCAGGTGGGGCACAAGGCCTTTAAGCCAGGGAGCCCTGCACCTGCCTGATGTGGTTCTCCACTCCTATATCTGAGTTGTATCACAAGCAAGGAAACGGCTCCTGAATGGGTATGGGACTTGTTCCCTGTATAAACTGCATGTAGTACGCCTGCTGAAGAGGAACTCCTGATTCTTCTGAATATTCAGTTAAATCCAAGAGGATTTCCATGTGGGCACTGCCCTAAGCTACCACCCTAGCTTCTTTATTTATTTAATTTTTTTTTGCGTGTGTGTGGGACTGAGGTTTGATCTCAGGGCTTCATACTTGTAAACCAGACACTTATCACTTGAGTCACACCTCCAGTCCATTTTGCTCTGGTTATTTTGGAGACAGGAGTCTCAAAAACTATTTGCTAATCCTCCTGATCTCAGCCTCCCAAGTAGCTAGGATTATAGCAATGAGCTTCCAGTGCCTGGCCCTTATCTTCTTTATATTACATCTTTTAGATGTAAGCATAGGACCTCATCTATTTGGTGAACATAAAACCCAAACTCAAAATTTTGAAAGTTGCCTGAGCACCTCTATAATCCAGCAAATATCTTGGGGTATACAAAGCCAACACATCATAATTCAGTAGGAGTCAATTTTTCACAAAGGAGTACAAGTGAGGGCCTACAGGGTGAGAGTCTCCAGGGTGAGTTTTTGGACCCTGAGTTAAAAATAACAAAAAAAGATTAATTTGCTAAAGACTCTGTGAAACCATCAGTAAGTGCATTTATAATGCGCACTAATCTCTTTGTCAACTTGTAGCTTACTTGGCCTTCTGCTCCCTAGAACTTCACTGCATATCCACTGAATAGAAACATGCAAAAAGAATTAAGACTCATCCAAGATAAGCAATTGGGATGTTCTTATTCACAAGTCCTGGATTCACCAATGTCCTTTATCATTCAATGTTTGTAAATAGGATGGTCTTCACTAAAGAAAACATATTGGGGTGGGGGTTGGGGGAGGATCCTGCCTCATAAATAGTAGCTGAAGACCAAAACAAAGCCAGGTAATCTAGTATTCAAACAGCGCAGTGTTAAAGTCAGTGGAAAATGGGAATTTAAGATTACTCTAGTAATTTTTATTTTACTTTATATTTTATTTTTGTAATGCTAGGGATTGAATACAGGGCCACACACATGCAAAGCAAGCATTCTACCACTGAGCTCTACCACAGCCCTTTTAAAATTTTTAATTATATTATTATTATACTGGTGGTACATTGTGATATTTACATAAGTGCTTATAATTTACCTTAGTTAATGAAAAAAAAATATACATCTTAGTTAAATTCACCCCTCCTTTTTTAATTTTTAAAGTCAGAATGTCAACTTAGTATTTGCATCAATGTCATATGTTTGAAAACTATATGTTACAAAATTATAAAACACCCTATAAAAGAAAGCAATTATAACTTCATTTATTTTTTTACTTGGCACAGGGGTTTGAACTCAGGGCCTCACGCTTGCTAGGTAGATTCTCTACCACCTGAATCATTCCACCAGCCCTTGAATTCCTTCTTTAAATTCATCTTTTCCAAGCACCCCTTTCTTCCAACTCTAACCTACATGCTTCCTCCTCCAAGAAGTGTGGATCCTCCCTGCTTTCTGAACTACCAAGGGAAGTACTGTGCATTTCACTTCCTTCTTCCTATTACATCCATCTGAGTCCGTGTCTTAATTTCCCTATTATTCTCAACTCTCATGTATTCCATGTCTGAATCACTCTCATAAATCCAACAACACTTAGCCTAACACCTTCCACGTACAAATGTTTTTAAAATTTTGAATTCAAGCCAGGTACCGGTGGCTCACACCTGTAATCCTGGCTACTCAGAAGGCAGAGATCAGGAGTATGGTAGGCAAATAGTTCGTGAGACCCTATCTCAAGAATGCCCAACGCAAAAAAGGGCTGGCAGAGTAGCTCAAATGATAAAGTGCCTGCCTAACAAGCATGAGGCACTGAGTTCAAACCCTGCCTGAGTTCAAGTACTGCCAAAAAAATTTTTTTTGAATCCCACAAACATAAAACATCAATATTTGCCAAGCGCCTTCTATAGAAGTCTGGAAAGCAAATATCCATCAACTATTAACCTACATAGGTCACTTTTGGCTTGGTAACTAAACAGGCTCCTTAGAAAGAAAAAATAAATGTAATATTACCTCTCAGTACCAGGGCAGGCAACCACAAGAAAACTGTATTGGCCCTTGGTGATCACTGCTGCGCACCATGCCGTCGCCATTCCCATCACAGCATGCACAAACGAGTGCATGAGTTGCTGAGGATGAATGATCCTCCCTATCAATGCCAGTCTGGAGCAGGGAATACAAGGCACAACTGCAAAGAAAGCACATAACTATGGTTCTATGACTGCAGCACACAAAATTAGAGGATCTATACTAGTTCCTCTTGTCCTTGCACAAAGGGAAAAAGAAACTCAATTAAAAGCTAACAATTCTGACTTAAAAATACATGAGAGCCAGGTGACAGTGGCTCATGCCTGTAATCCTAGCTACTCAGGAGGCAGAGATCAGGAGGATCAAGGTTTGAAGCCAGCCCGTGTGGGTAATTTGTAAGACCCTGTCTTGAAAATACACAACCCAAAATAGGGCTGGTGCAGTGGCTCAAGTGGCAGAGCACCTGCCTAGCAAGCATGAGTCCCTGAGTTCAAACCCCAGCAATGCCAAAAAAAAAATTAAAAATTTGAGAAAAGAATGAATAAAAAGGAAAGCATGCAAAAAAAGAAAAACCAAAAATTCTAGAGATAAAATGTCAGGGGAACAGGATTAACATTTTTCATTTATTTTAAATTAAAACTTCTTAGGCCAGGTACCCATAGCTCACGTCTAATCCTAGTTACTCCAGAGGCAGAGATCAGGAGGATCTAGAGTCAAAGCCAGCCCAGACAAAAAGTGAGACCCTATCTCAAAAACACTCAACACAAAAAAGAACTGGCAGAGTAGCTCAAGTGGTAGAGCACCTGCCTAGCAAGGCCCTGTGTTCAAATCCTAGTATCACAAAAAAAAAAAAAAGAACTTGTTGGTAGCTGATATAATGCTAACCTTGGCACTCACCTGAGCATCATAAAAGAACAATAATTTGAAAGAAAGCTCCTGCCTTCCAGTTAGTTATCTTTATTTAAACATACGAAACTGACATCATATAATCCATCTGTGAAAAATAAACAAAGTAGGCAAAAATTGGAGCACTGAATGTTTATGTTTTCTTCGTTCTGTTTTGTTTTGAGACAGGATCTCATCATGTTGACCAGGATGGTCCCAAGATCATGGACTCAGTGTGGACACCCTATTTTACAAGTATTAAAGAGCTAAAAAGAATGACATCATAGTCAAATAAAAAAGGAAATGTCAGAAAAAACTTTTGTGTCTGAAGTGACATACTCAGGAATCTTAAGTCAAAAAGGATAGCAAAGAAACTGAGTGAAAAATAAGCACTGAGATCTAACAGATGATTCTTCCAAGGAAAACCCTAATATTTAAATTCTTTTTGGAAAACCCAAGAATTACATTCTCTATCAGTACTGGGGCTTGAACTCAAGGCCTCACACTTGCTAGGCAAAATGCTCTATAACTTGAGCCATGCCCCCAGACCTCTTTTTGCTTTACTTATTTTTCAGACAGGGTGCCATGCTTTTTTTTGCCAAGCTGGCCTCAGCCCATAATCCTACTACTGCCTCCTACAGATTCAGATTATGGACATACACCACCACACACAGCTTGGTTTTTGGTGGTACTGGGGTTTTAACTCAAAGCCCTGTGCTTGCTGTGTGAGCCATGCCCTGAGCCCCCACATTATTTGCTGAAATGGGGTCTTGATAATTTTTTGCCCGAGCTGACCCTAAACCATAACTCTCCTGGTCTCTACTTCCCAAGTAGTTGGGATTACAGGTGTGAGTCACTGCACCTGTAAATTTAAAACAACAACAAAAAAAAACAACCTTACAATCACCTGGTCTTGATCTCCTGCCCTATCAAACATTTTTATAATTCATTTGCTAAATCACAGCTTTTACACCAGCTATGAACTATTGAAAGGTCTAAATTTATTTTTTATTATGACAGAACACACATTAATAAAATTTACCATTTGAACCTGGAAGTATACAGTTCTGTGGCATAAGTATTTTTACCCTGTTGTGCAACCATCATTACCAACCATTTCTCGAATTCTTTACCCATTAAACAATCCCGTCTTCCTCCATCCCAGGGAACCCATTCAACTTTCTGTTTGTATGAATTTCTACATTCTTTATATAAGTGGAATCATGTGACTATTTGTCATAAAAGATCTAAATATATCTTAAAAAGAGAAATTTGTGCTGGGGGACTGTGTGTGTGGCTCAAGTAGCAGATCATCTGCCTAGCAAGCCTGAAACCCCAAAAAAAAGGCAGAGAGAAACTAGCACCCAAAATGAACTGATGAACTGCAAGGTATAACATTTAAAGCATACATCTTCAAAATTTAACACAGAACTTGGCATGTTATACTCATTCCTGTATAAAATGCACTGAGTCTGCCTTTGGTAAAGTAAACTCAGATTTTTGAGAATGTTCCCATTTGAAAACTCACCTGCATAGAACTCCACATTGAAAATGCTTATTATTATTATTACCACTGACAACAGCAAGAAGTAAAAGACTACGTAGGAACTGTACAGGTCATTGAAAGAATCTAAAACAAGAGAAATGAATTAGTGAAGTTTATTCAACGTCCCAGTCATATTCAGTACACAGAAATAAAAAAAGGATTTGAACCATGATGGTAATTTTAACTTTTCCTCAAGAATTTAATTGTACACTGCTGAAGGTCCAAAGGGACATCAACTCAAGGATACCAGGGTGAATTATTTAGACATGGCTCTGGGGTAGTTTTTTTTTCCCCCATAGTCCTAGAGGCTGGCAAGTCCAAGTGCATGGTGCTGGCATCTGGTGAGGGCCTTCTTGCAGCCTTACAACTTGGTAGAAAGCATCATATGGCAAGACAGAGCAAGGGTGCTAACTTGGGTCTCACTTCCTTTTTTGGGGGTGGAGGGGTGCGGCAATGGAGTCTGAATGTTTGAACTCAGGGCCTTGTGCTTGTTAAGCAGACACTTTACCACTTGAGCCACTCCTCCAGCCAAGCTCTGGGTACTTTAAAATTATTTGAGAATTTCTTTTAAATGTCCCAGATTTAATATCAGACAAAATATTCCACATGCAAATATTTCATCATGTGATAATAATATACCAACGAAGTTTCTTTTTAAAATGTAAACAATATTTTTCAGCTCTCTTCTGAATAAATGTAATAGCTCCTAAAAGTCAAAGTAACATGTTTGGAAATACAGTAATTCATAAATCATATAAATGAGCTGAACTAAAAACAAAAAAATCGTGATGTCCCTGTGAATTACTCATTTTCACCGTTCAGAGTAATTCAACAATCAATATTCCAATTCAAAGTTTAAACTATGCATATATTATGCCCAAAAATATAAACAAAAGAAATAAAAACAATGAGGCATGAGTTTGCGAACAGACTAAGACGATAATGAAACCAATTTAACAATGGGTTTAGAGATAAGAAACTAATCATTTCTAAAAGTACAATTCAGGAACCAAAATTAATGAAAAATATTTCCTTAGACTCCATAATTAAATACCTATTATCTTTGCACTGCTTATGGCTCAATTCCATCTGTCCTAAAGGACCTATCAAAGAAATGCCAGACATACATCAACAAAAAACATAACACAACTCTCATTCTTTAGCAGCAGTATCCCCAAAGGTCACAAGGTAAAGATTCTAATGCCTTGAAAATTGGCATTTTCTTAGGAAAAACAAAATTAAAAACACATGAAAGCCAAAGAAATGTATTGTTGAAAGGTGGGAGAAAGGATTTCAAGAGCACTTTTATTTCTTTGCCTTAGGCAAGACTTTAAAAAGTTCAAATCCCACACTGGCAACATTCATCTCTTTGTTTTTTAAATTCTCACGTGGCACTGCAGAAAAGCAGCATTTGTTTTCTTTCAGACACTAATGCTGGAATCCTCCTTGTTACTAACTAGCTGTGTCTCTGCAGATTATTTAACCTGAATCTCAGTTCCCTAACTTAAAAAATAGGACCAATATCTTTTTATTAAATAGAGTTACAGGAAAGAGGTGATATACATAAGGTATTTAGCATAGTGCCTGGCACACAGTACATGGGAAATAATTGGTAGCTACTATTAATGGACATGAAACAAGTTATATTTTAATCAACTTTGTAATTTCACTTGTCTCTAAGGATTCCAAAAAAAACACGTTTTGGCCTGCCTCACTTTTTTCTTCTTTATCAATTTTTGCATTTAACTCCATCTTCCCTAGTTATTCTTTTCTCCTTTTCACTCTTCTTGTCTTTCTTAAGAGCCACGAAATGGAAATAAGCTGGGTGCTCGTGGCTCTTGCCTGTAATCCTAGCTTTTAAGGAGGCAGGGATCAGGAGGATTGCAGTTAGAAGTCAGCCCAGGCAAATAGTTTGTGAGACCCTCTCTTGAAAAACCCCAACACAAAAAAGAGCTGATGGAGTGGCTCAAGTGGTAGAGCATCTGACTAGCAAGCATGAAACCGTAAGTTCAAAACCCACTACCACCAAAACAAAAAAGTGTGTGTGTGTGTGTGTGTGTGTGTGTGTGTGTGTGTGTGTGTATGTAAATGAAATACTCTTAATTTAGACAAATTTTTTTAAATGTCATAGCTTAGGGCTGGGGGAGTGGCTCAAGTGGTAGAGCACCTGCCTCCCAAGCGTGAGGCCCTGAGTTCGAACCCCATTACCACCAAAACATAAATAAAATATCATAGTTTCTTTTCTAATTTTAAATGGTAACAGGAATAGTTCTCTTTTTTAAAAAGACAATATTAATAAAGCTATCAATAAGTTTTCATTTGTGTGGTTTTTTTTTTTGGTGGGACTAGAGTTTGAACTCAGGGCTTCGTGCTTACAAAGTAGGCACTCTACCACTTAAGCCACATCTCTAGTTCATTTTGCTCTGGCTATTTTGGAGATGGGGGTCTCACAAACTTGTTGCCTGGGCTGGCCTCAAACCACAATCCTTCCAATCTCAGCCTCTTAAGTAGGTTTACAGGTATGAGCCACAGGCACCCAGCTTTCTGTGGTCTTCTAATGATTTTTTTGTTCCTGTCATCAACATAGTCTCTAACAGACTTACTAATCTTATATAATAAGATGATTTATGCAGGGAATGCTTGAACTTGTCTCAAAGTGAATCCTGTGACGTGTCCATATAGGCAGTAATTAAAAATAATCTGAAACATCATGCAATTTTTATGTTGAGAAGTAGGACTTTTAAATGTTTTCCCTAAATTAAATATCACTTACCTGACAACCACTGTATAGGATGAAATAAATCAATGCTGCTGAAGATTATAAATACCATGGTACAAATGGGCAGAAGCAACACTGACCAAACAATACTGGCAACTATCCTCCAGCCCAGAACCTAAAATTAAACAAACAAAACTGCTCAATCATGAAGTCAGTTAAATGATTTCAGTTATGCAAATCTTATGTCTTCATATAGTCCGTTAACGTTAATCACTAATATTTACAACTGGATCATAATCCATGCAGGGAACCCAAGTGATTAGTACTATTAATAGCATTTCACACCCTACAAAACCTTGTAATATCAGTGAACTGAAGCTTGCCTTAGATCCAGAATCAAGTGCAACACCAAATATCACACTTTAATATGGGGGACAGCCTGGCACTGGTGGCTCACATCTGTAATCCTAGCTATGCAGGAGATCAGGAGGATCACAGTTCGAAGCCAGCCTAGGCAAACAGTTCGCAAGATCCTATCTCAAAAAAAAATCCATCACAAAAAAGGGGTGGTGGAGTGGCTCAAGGTGTAGACCCTGGTTCAAGCACCAGTACCGCAAAAAAAAGGTTGGGGGCAGAAATCATCTTTAGTCATATAAGTCAGTATTTTACAATAACTAATACTTGTCTCTCTAGGTCTAGTTGGTAATAATATGAATATGTAAAGGTTGTATACACCTGATGAGAATCATGACATGCATCCCTTACTGGGCAGCTACTGGGCATTGTCTGAACTGACACAGCCTACCATAAAGAAGCAAAAGATTTACTGATAAATAAATACAAGGAGAAATACTGAGGGGATTTAAGCATGAAAGTGACGATTAGATTTGTTCTGGAAGGTAAAACATCTTTGTGTTTATTGTTACATGATTGGAAGAAAGAGGATTAAAGGAGACCAGATCCAGACGGGCCACTTAACAGCAGTTAAGGGCAGTGCACAAGAGCCCAAGCCAGAAATTGCAGTCATGTCTGAACAAAAGCAGTAGCAATGGGAAAGGAAAAAGGAACAAAATGCAGTCATATTTCTGAAGTACAATCTACGGGACTCAGTGACTGACAATATCACAAAGCTGGTAAAGAATAAATAAGGTCCAAAAGTTCTGAGCTTGGGATAGGGGAGATGACAGTACACCGCGTTAGAAGCATATTCTAAAAGGGATCTTACTCCTCTTTCTCTTTGTCCTCCATAGTATAGATGCTTCCGTGGCAAACATCTCAGGCTTCGTTCCACCCTGCTTATCTGCTCTCCCACCCCAGCCTTGGCTAAAGTCACACCACTCTTTTCCACTGCCGAACATTCCTTCCCACTTATTCCAAGGAATCAAGTTATTTTGCACCTACTGGATAACTGCCCTTGCATAAAACCCTGCTCTGCCCCAGTTTCCATTCTGGTGATCCCTCCCACGATAGCCAGTCTCCACTTCAGACTCCTGTCCCCCACCGGTTTCCAGCTGCCACCGAGGACACCGCCACAATCAATAATAAGAACCACAGGCGGTCCCCTCTCCACGCTACCCTGCGACAGGACCCCCTCCACAGCGCGCACGCGCGGCAAGAAGCCGCCCGCCCAGCCCGAGTCAAGCAGCGAGTGCCACAGAGCGCCGCACTCACGCGCCACAGGATGTCCCGCGACCCGCCAGCGCTGGACCCACTCATAGCTGTGGCCATGGAGATGGCGGCCCCTACTCTCTGGCCTGCGGGAGACGGTGTGCCCGCCCGCCACCGCCGTTCAAAGGCAGGAAGGCCCCGAGAGGACCCGTTCGGGGCTGCCCGAAAGGCTGCCTGAGAAAATCCCGGCACAGGCGCGAGCCCATCCCATCGCGGCTTCGTTGGAATAGGCTCAACCGGCCAGAACTGTCTCGTATTTAAGTGTGCCAGAGGGGTCTGTGATCCGAGGAACCGTCCTCTGGGGTCCAAAAGATCCCTCCGAAGCAGGGTCAATCGGGACGCCAGAGACAAGGGATGGCGGCGCTGCATGCTGGGAACTGTAGTCTCGACGGGTCCCACGATCCAAGGAGGAGGAACGTTACATTCTGGGACTCGGAGTTCCAAAATATGGCATGCTGGGAATCGAAGTCTTCCGGGAGTGGACTTGAGGCATGCTGGGCATCATAGTCTTTTATGAAGCCGATAATAGCCGCAGTATTGATTGATTGGAATTCTGCAGTTGAAAAGATTTGGCATAATGATTTACACTCATTTTCCTAGCTTACTTTACCAGCCACCTAAGAGTGAAATCAAAGGATGTTGTAGACCTTTCCAGAACAGGCACTCGGTAATTTTACTGAAATCTTAAAAATTAAAAAAAAAAAAAAGGAGGAAGGAGGATTCTGTTGCTAAAAAGGATGTGTTTGACTTCATACACTCTGGTTTCTAGTTCCAATTCTATCACTTTAAAAAATATTTTTATGTCTACCACTTTCTAAGTGGACTACCTTGATCCTCTCTGAGCCTTCATTTCTTCATCTGTAAAATAATGATAAAAATAGGATAGCATCCTATTGGTGCTATGAAGATATAAATAATAAGCACTATAAAAACTGATTTGGGGCAGGAGGAGTGGCTCAAGTGGTAGAGCCCTGCATTCAAACCCCAGTCCTACAAAAAAAAATAATAACAATAAGCTGATTATCATTGATTCCTGTCAGTAAGGAAAAAAGCTTTTTTCACTAAGTCAGGTTCCCTTAATGAAGTTTTCTCTGATCACTCTTTGTTTCACCCATGAGATCCTGGATGAGTACTGCTAACACCTTTTTATAGTCAATTACATTACATGTCAACATGTAATTGATAGACATAGTAATTTACTGACTAAAGAAACTCATGGGCTAGTGAGTAAAATTTGAGATCACACAATGCTCTATAATTGCTACTTGAGTTGCTTTAAAATTATGTCATATTGACTTCCAAACCCATATTAATAGCAATCATGTCTAAAGCACTGCAGGACAAATTGGGACTACAACTGGGAGGTCAGGTCTCTATCATGAAGAACCTTCTATATGGTGGTGGAGAAAAATTATAAAGAATCAGTCTAAACAAGTGTCTACAAACACAACTCAGGTTACTTGAAATCACAACAACTTGTTTAGTTCTTGTGGTAAAGACTACCAGCTTTCTATCTCCATATCTAGTCTCCTCCCACCCCTTTTTTTTAATGGTAGCCAAGTTTTAGATAGGTTGATAGAACATATTGCAGCTGGATGATTGCATTTAGGCCAATATCATATCAAAATATTGCATGGTAGCTTCCCAGAAACTCCTTTAAGCAAGAGTACATGGCATTTCCCCTTACTAATCCCTTTCCTCCATTCAGCTTCCTAGATCTTAGATGTGGTAATTGGAGGGCTAGTGCCATATTGGATGACAAGGAAGAGGATCACACTACCAAAAAATGAAGTACTGAGCTTAAAAGGCATTTGATTATTTGGAGCAACCATACCAGTCCTAGCTACCTCCCTTTACCTCCTGCCTTAATTTACACAAGAAAATTACTTATTATTTCTGCCATCTTTATTTTTATAATTTTTATAGTACTGGTCATATTTTTTGTTTTTGCTTTGTTTTGGCTTTGGAGACAGGGACTTGCTATATAATCCAAGCTGGCCTCAAATTTGCAGTTGTCCTGCCTCGAGAATGCTGGGATTACAGGCATGAACCACCACATCAGACTTATCATATTCTTAAATCATCCTTATATTTGTTTATTTCTTATTGTTGGACTTCTCACTGGTAGAAAACCTCACAGGGGCTTGTCTTGTTTGTCATTGTTTCCAAAGTGCCTATCACCTTAGTAAGAAGTCCATGACTGTGAATTAAATACATAAAGTAATGTCTGAATGGAGGAAGTTAACTGAATCAGACAGTATCTATTAGGACAAGTTTTGATATCTAAATCAAAGAAAGATTTAATACAAAGAATTGATAACAAAAGAGTCAGAAGGGCAGAAGGGGAGAAAAAATAGGATTGTAGCAGCAAATGGGAGGGATGAGTTACGGCCCAAATATGAGGAGGCTGCTGTATGGGCTGCATCAGAGCAGCGTTGCTGAGCTGCTGAAGGAGCTCAGCATTCAGAATCTGCCAGAACTACAACATGGCTCTTAGGAAGGAACTGAGGAGCTAGTACTCTGTCTCATGGAAATTACCACAAGTGTCCAAACTATCTGCAGTTGCTCTCTGAGCCTGAGTGTCCTTGTTAATAATGACACCATCTTGCAAGAGGCTGTATTAAATGAGACTTTGCTTCTCCATTATCTGGACCACTATAGAAAGACACAGGCTTTGGAGTCCAGTAAACACAATATGAGCAAGTTCTCTGCCATTCTGTAGCTTTGAGATCTCAGGAAAGTCACTTTATCTTTCTAAGCATGTTCCTTATTGTCTGACTTTCCACTGATATGTAGGCCGCACAAGGGCAGAAAATTTGTCTCATCATTTCCAAACTGCCTATCATCGCATTAGTAAGAAGTCCGCGTCTGTGTGTTAAAAGGACAAAATAAAGTCTGAATGGAAGAAGTTAACTGTATCAGACAGTGTCTATTCTGCACTACAGCTTCTGATATCTAGATCAAAGAAAGTTTTAATGCAGAGAACAGATAAAACTGTTGGAAGGGCTGAAGGCATTTTGCTCTTTCAAAATGGAATAAAATAAAATGATATACAATATGGAAGAACAATATCAATTAGTATTTAAAAACTCAGTAATTATGCAATAAACACAGGGAATAAATCAAAATAAAAGAAAATCATTATATAAATGGAAGTTGAACCAGAACAAACTCAAGAGCAAAAAAACATAACAGCTGGGGGCACATCTGTAATTCCACCATTTGGGAAGCTGAGACAGAAGGATCAGTTTCAAGGCCAGTCTGGGCTACATAGTGATACCCCGGAAGGAAGGAAAGGAGAGAGGGAGGAAGAGGAAGGAAGGAAGGAAGGAAGAAACAAAGGAAGGAAGGAAGGAAGGAAGAGAGGAAAGAAACAGTAATGGCATAACAAAGGAAGGATTCTTTTTTTGTGTGTGGTACTGGGGCTTGAATTCGGGGCCTTCACCTTGAGCCACTCCACCAGCCCTATTTTAGTGAAGGGTTTTTCAAGACAAGGTCTTGCAGAACTATTTGCCCGGGCTGGCTTCGAACCATGATCCTCCTGATCTCTGCCTCCTGAGTAGATAGGATTACAAGCATGAGCCACCAACAACCAGCAGGAAGGATTCTTTTAATCAAAAAGGAATAAAGAAACCAAAAGGATTTCTTTTAAGTAACAACTAGAGAAGAAAGGCAAGGAAGAGCTAACCTTTGAATGATGGGAGTCCTTGAGAACCCTGGACCTTCATCTTAAACCACCACCCTCTGGCCCAAGGATATGTAGGGATATGGGAATTACTTGCTTTCAAATTGCCTTAATATTTTTGAATGAGCCATCATTTTCATGATGTATTCATTTCAAAATCTTCATTTGTATCATTTCTGACATTTTATGACTTAAAAAATTTATGTGTTGTGGCAGTAAATAATCCTTCTTTCTTTCCATCTGATTAGTTTCAAATTCAATCCTTCCAAAAGAAGAGGCTATTAACTTTTGATAGAATGTGATTAGCCATTCGCAAAAGCAAAATACATGCCATTTGTTTTGAAAGACAGCTCTTTGGACATCCAGTGTCTCTTGTGCCACAGTATTTGGTGAGTCAAGCAGGAAAATAAAGTCAAAACACATGAATGGTATCTCCCTGTGGGGCATGGAGAACACAGATTCAGAATAACTCTGGGCCATCACAAACAAAACAAAATAAAAAGGCTCTCTAAGTCTTAAGGAAGAATTTAAAGATCCAGCAAATCAACAGGGAGTTCAGTCTCCCCTCCTTCCTCTGACATCCCCTCTGAAGCCAGTCTACCCTCCCTGGTTGTTTGGTTGGGCTGTCCTCAGCTGTCTACTTCTTGGTGGTCAGATCTCAGGGAAAGACCAATGAAGGAAGAGGGAACTCCATAGGAAAATGCTCATAGTACAATCAAAGTGTGATCTAGGTTTCATAGTTTCTCTCTCTCTCTCTCTCTCTCTCTCTCTCTCTCTCTCTCTCTCTCTCTCTCTCTCTCTCTGTCTCTCTGTCTTCCCCTCTCTCCCTTTGTACTGGGATTTGAACTCAGGACCTCACACTTGCTAGGCAGCCACTCTACTACTTGAACCATGCCCTCAGAACTTTTTGCTTTAGTGTACTGTATTTTTCAGGTAGGATCTTATTTTTGCTCAGGGTGGGCCTCAGATCACAATCCTCCTACCTCTGCCTCCCACGTTGCTGGAATTCCACACCTAGTCCTACACTGTTCTTTATTTCTACCGACCTATCTAAACTGAGCCCCATGACCCACCTTTCAAATAATGTGCTAGTCGTTAATAGTGTGCTCACCGAGTAGCTCCAGCTCCCTGTCTGCTACACGAGATAGGATTGTACTTTGCAACCCCCTTTGAAGTGAGATATGGCTATGACAGTTCTAACCAAAGAACTGTGAGACGTGCCATGTGTCATTTGCAAGTGGAAGATTTAATTGCCATTGTGAGACCCTCTGGAGCCTGTTCCTCTGGCACACTAGCCAACAACATCTGAGATGATGGTTGCTCCATCACCCCAGGTGCCTGAGTCACTGGAATGATGAGTCTCCCTGCCAACCTGGGATGAACTTATAACAGGAACAAGAAGTAAGACTTTGTTCTTTTAAGCTTCTGATAGGTTGGAGTTGTTTGATACTATAAAATAACCATGCCTATCCCAAATGATGCTAATAGCAGGTCAGTAAACAGTTACTGGAAGAAGAGTTTGAAAGTCCTCGAGGCATGGCTCAAGTGATAGAGTGCTTGCCCAGCAAGTTCAAATCCCAGTACCACCAAAAAAAGAAAAAAAACCAGCTTTGTTTAATGCATCACATCA